AAGGGGGGGGGGGGGTTACACTTAAATCGATCAGTCTGATCACATGCATCCCGTGAAGCATGCATGCAACACTTTCCACTTTTACCCCGTCCATCTTCACTTATCTCAGATGGGCCTAGGTCTTGTAATGTCTCACCCTGCCCGTGGATCTTTACCTCTCTCGCGTGCATCAAAGATGTAATTTTACATCGATACTTTACCCGCCTCTTAAGGCATTGTTTTGGCGCCCTTTGAAATATCTGCCTGTCCATCCTGGCCTGTCTGGGTCCTTAATATCAGCTCATGTTTCTAATAAATTGGCTCTTTGAAACGGAAATCTTCATGTGGAAACTGGGATCAAGTTCCGCCTCTCCCTTTCCACTCATTTACAGGCCAGCGTGTGTAGTGTATTGTTCTGGCTCCTTGCCATTGCTCTCCGGGTACATGTGTTCGATTCCTGTGTCGGGATGTCTTATTTTAACGTGCATCTCTGTCTGTCTGCTGATACAGTTTGTTCCGTTTAGCCGGAGTTGGCCTTGGCAAGCAGAGTTGAAGCAGCCTGTCTCCTAAATGATCGGAATGATGTCGGTGGGAGAAGAAGCACATTTGCAATCTTTTACAATCTTTCAATAACAAAATTCAACGGGGCATTGAATCTATGCAATACAATACAATATGATACATCCCTAAATAATACAGTACAATGTTATACACAGCAGTAAACTCAGATACAACAAAGTATAGCACATTGCTATGCTACGCAGTATATTATTGTACCATGTACTGGAATACATTAGCACAGCACAATGCACGGATTACGCTGTGCTACAGTGCAATACAATATAATTCAACACGTGTCTGACTCAACACAACACAACACTAAACAGTACAATCAGATCAATACAAGACTTTACAATACTACACAACCTAATGCAACACATCACATGGCAATACTAACAAGCCGTCCCTTTGTTCCTCCCCACAGGAGGTGCTCCATGTCGCCAACATGGAGATGCAGCTGGCCGCGGCCTCGGCGTTCCTCCAGATCCTGGATAAGAAGCTGGTGTCTGTGGAGGACTACCGGAGGACCTTCCTGCAGACCATCCTCACCTCTGTGGACAACAAGAACGAGGGTGAGCCCTGCTGGGTACCGTGGTTCAGGATAGGTGTGGAAACACAGGGGAAGGGTTCATTTCTGCCACTGGAGGGGTTCATTTCTATCGCGGGGGGTTCATTTCTGTTATTTTTTATGAGGGAATCTTCGTACTCTTAAGCTCTAAAAAAAGGAAAGACTGGAGACTCGAGAGGAA